GGTTAGCTCATATCACATCAAACCATGCAAATGATTATTATTGTTATACTTTAACATCAGCATTGCGTGACTATGAGTATAGTATGTGTGTGTGTAGATTTCAATTTCTGTACAGTCTAATCTCCAATTGTCACACCATTCGAATCTCATATTAAGAAATTATTTTAACCCAAAAAGCAAACTATGCTCTCTTCGAACTGGTTGTCTTTCAAATACAAATCTTGTGTAATCCCAGGCTATCCGTAATCTGTTATTAATTTAATTAGTTTAAATTAAAACTGGAATATAATTTAATTTCATTCACATGTGTTTCATAAACGCATAATCCTTTATGAATTACAATCCGCCATCAAATTGATACATTTTATTATTCCAGCTGCTGTAAGAAAAGGCTATAAACGATCGGCCACCTGCAGGATCCTCACATGCGATATAGCCTATTAACCGGGACAACTTCTTTATGTTTACAGACTGGGCATGGGCCGATTACCGGTATCAAGGTATAACGCGGTTTGAAAATTTCACGGGTTCAAAACCACTAACATTTTCCGTTATACCATTCCTGCGGTATGCGCTGTTTTTCATGTCTCCTCAAAGACTGAAAGTGCAGGAATCCCTCAGGTTGAGTGCAGTGTAGAGAGTAACATGACCCTTCTCCTGTTGGTGCGAGCGAGCGGTCAATCACTGTGTGTATGATGGCCGAAGGAGCTTCCTCTGGAACTTACGTGATCGGCAACCAGCCGTTTATTGTTTTATTGCAGCCAATCTCTGTTCTGGACTTGCACAAACTGCGTTGCAATGCATATCATTTTCCAAATGTCATTTATGTGAAAATATTAAGTCTGTTAACGTCCGTTAACAGAGGCCAGAGACGCTGAAGACAGACGCACAGAGAAAAATACTGTTGCAGGCAGATCACTCACTGTTCATGAAAGGCGAACTATTGGAAGAAAAACCTAAGTATTGATTTGGGGTTTATATGAATGTGTTTCTGAGGGGAACGGACTGTCTTCAGAAACGTTTAGATGGTATTTTCTTTTCATATCGTATAATTCACATTAAAGCAGTGTTTCAGCGCAGCTCTGTTTTGTTTACTGTGATAACCAAGGAAAT